TGGTTTCTCAACTTACTTCACTGGAGGTAGAAATCTGAGGACAAGATAGAGTTCAGCTCTGGGCAAGTTAAGACTTGAAATCGTGCTCAGGCTGAAACTCTATGGAAACAATTTCACGTTGTATCTACCTTCCCCCTCCCGGACTTTCTGCCTTCCCTCCCCTTGGTTCTTCTGCCAGCAACGAAAGCCCTTCGCTGACAGGAAGAGGGTGGCAGAGTTGGTGAGGTCTGTCAGGGCATGTCAAGATGTCTAGGTTTGCCTCACTCCACACGCACTGGCACACTTTTACCTCTCATGCTGGGCTCACAGCCTGGGCAGGTTTTATTTCATTTTCAATGAGGCTGGTAGTTTGATCCAAGATTCGTCTGACACTGAATTATTTGGACACCCCTAATACATTTCTGCTGCCCTCAAAATGTCCTTTAAATACCAGAGCAGGGAGACTCACAGCATTATTAATAATCTGCCTGTGGTATCTTAGTGAAGAACACTGCTGACCCATTTACTGATTTTAAAATTGAAATGTAAAAAATGCCCCACGCAACTAACAAGCATGCTGAGACTCTTAGGGACATATCTTCATTCCCGTATGTAACAAAATCAGGCCTTTCAATTTTACTTTAAATATTTCCTCATCGCTGACATGTTTCAGAAAAATCAGAATGTACTACTCACTGTCTCAGAACATCTCCTGCTGCAGCAGCAACATACCTGAAGGGGAGTACTCTATGCAGAAGAGAAACTGATGTGGCTCACAGTGCTAAGTGTTCAAAGGCATGGTGCCAGCATCTGCTTGGTCCTGGTGAGGCCCTCCTGGCTCTGATCACGACAGGCAGTACAGGGGAATGTGGGCAGGGAGGAAGCACATGGCAAGACCCGGGGTCCAGGTTCACTTGTTCTTGATCAATTTGCTCTTTTGGGAAATACTAGGGGGTCTTTGAGTGTGTCAACAACTACATAATCCCTTTGCAGGGTGATACCTCCAAAACCTAATCACCTTCTACCAGGCCCCACCATCTCAACATTACCACAATGCAAATAGAGATCAAGTTTCTATCATGGGCATCGTGCATCGGTGCCAAATCATAGCACTTTTATAATAACCATGTAATAGTCATGGTTACCTTGCTTTGTTTTTAAAAAAAAGTTATTTACTTAGCAAGCTAAGTTTCGACCTGCAATACCAGCATCCCATTTATAGGTCCTGGTTAGTGTTGCAATTACTCTACTTCTGACCCAACTCCTGCTAACGAGCCCGGGAACGCAGCAGAGTTGAGCCTAAGTGCTTGGGCCATGCACCCAGGTGGAAGACCTGGAAGAAGATCCTGGCTTTGGACTAGTTAAGCTCTAGCCACTGCAGACATTTTAGGAATGAATCAGTGGATGGAAGTATTTGTCTTCCCCAATTCCATCTCTTTCTAACTTTGCCTCTTAAATAAATACATAAATCTTTTTTAAAAATACAATGGAAATCTATGAGGAGCCTAAGGAGATATGTGTTCTTAGTCTGAATAAAACTAAGATATTTGGCTGACAACTCTCAATGGTAGCTACCAATCTAATTCTCTGCCAGAATCAGCTTCCTCCGCTAGGACCAGCCAGTGAACCATAATGTGCTTAGCTGGAGTCCACAGAGGCAGCCTCACGTCAAACAAGAACGTAGGGGGTGTAGTTCTCTCACTGTTCTGATGGATGGAGCATACACACATCACAGACTCCTGCACCAGGCACCACCAAGCATCTGTTGAGTGGTTGAGTTTATTCCCTTCTGCTCTCTGCCTAGACTAGAGACAGAGTCAGTGAGACGCCGGAAAAGAAATGCACAACACCAATGGATTATGCAACCTGCACAGGAATCATTTAGGCAGAACTCAGGAAGGGAAAGCTTCACACATACACAGACCCCAACACTAAACTCGACTTCAGCCACAGTGGGCACCTCTTGTCTGCTCGTTTGGACTGGCCCAGCCGATTACACTGGCAGACCAGATGGGAAAATTCTGCTCTTTGCTTTCTTAATCGAAATTCACCTAAGGCCTTGGTTTTTAAGTGCACGTTACAAACACCAAAAACATCAATTAGCTCAAGCTTGTCCATCTTGGGAGCTGAGAACTGAAATTACACCGATTCCTCCCATGTTCTTCATCACCAAATTAGCTCCTAACTGATTAGCACACCAATTACAATTACTAAAAGCAAACACCACACCAACAGTTTTGCAACTTTTATAGCAGATCCTAGAGACTAATGAGTGCAATGCGTTAATCAGCTGCAAATCTTCTCCCAAGCAACCATATGCCACATTTGAATAATAATGCACCTCTTCCAGAAATCCCAGGCCTAAAAAGGAAAAATGGCAAATCAAGGAGGGACATCTCCCTGAAGGTATCGAGTTTCTTGGGAGAAGCTCAGGATGGCCAGTTTTCTGAGCCTTGTTAATTACAAGCATTTCTGGTTGTTGCTTCATTGGTTTATCTGATTTCACCAAATTCCATTCCTCTATGTGTGGCCTCCAGTGCCCTAACAGGCTCTGGAGCCTCTGGTCTCACAGCTGCAGGGAAGTCCTTTCCCCTTATGTCCCCTAAACCCGAATGGAGCCCCTGGTTCCTGCCTCTGGCCTGGCCCAGCCCTGGCCATAGCAGCCACACAGAAAATCAACCAGAGGAGATGGAAGACCTCTCCTCATCTCAGTCACTCTGCCTTTCAAAAAATAAAAAACAAATAACTACATTTCTGGATCCATTTTTACCTAGCAGTCATTCTTTGGGAGGTCATTTTGACTACTTTGAGAACTTTTATTTTTGCTTTTTATATACTTTTTCAATATTAATTTTATTTATTTTTATCTACTTGAAAGACAGAGAGACCTTCCATCCACTTCCAAAATGACTGTATTACCACCTAAAGCCCATAATTTCTTCAGATTTCCTTTGTTTTCTCCAGTGCTTTTTCTGTTCCAAGATTCCTCTCCTACATCACATTTAGCCATAACATCTCCTTAGATGCTGACAGTATAAGCTCTCTCCCTTCATATTCAATTTTTTTTTAATATTATTTATTTGAAAGGCAAAAAGGCAGAGTTATATAGAGAAGTGAGACAGAGTTGTTTCATCTGCTGGTTCACTGCTCAAATGGCTGCAACCGCCAGCATTGGACTAGGAGGAAGCTAGGAGCCAAAAGCTTCACCTGGGTCTCCCACATGGTTGTCAGGGACCCAAGCACTTGCGCTATCCTCCACTGCTTTCTAAGGCCACCAGCAGGGAGGTGGATTGAAGCTGGAGCACCCAAGATACAAACCACAGCAACAAGGGATGCCACAAGCAGGGAGCTGAATGGGAAGTGGAGCCTGCTGGGATTAGAACCAGCGCCCATATGGATCCCAACATATACAAGGCAAGGGCTCTAGCCACTAAGCCACTGCGCCAGGCCCCAGCATCCCATTTTTTAAAAAGAATAATTTATTTTTATTTGAAAGGCAGATTTTTACAAAGGACAGAATGAGGTCTTCTCTCTGCTGACTCACTCCCCAAATGGCCACTTCAACCAGAGCTGAGCTGATACGAAGATAGGAACTTCTTCCCAGACTCCCATGTGGGTGCATGGGTCCAAGGCCTTAGGCCATCCTTCACTGCTTTCCCAGGCCATGAAGTGCAGCAGCTGGGACACGAACCAGTGCCCATATGTGATGCCACTGCTTTCAGGCAGAGAGAGGGTTATTAGCCTGCTTGCCACTGTACTAGCCCCCATTTTTTTTTTATAACAGCTTTATTGGGATATAGTTCACAAGGCGTACAATTCACTCAAAGTTTACAATTTAATGTTCCTAGAATACTTGCAGTTGTGCAATCATCACCACAACCAATTTTAGAACATTTTCATCATTCCAGAAAGAACGCTTGCGCCCTTTGGCTAACATCCTCCAACCATTCCGTCTTGCCTCAGCTCCAGGCAACCACTAATCTACTGTCTGCTTATCTGGCATTTTTTTTCCTTCAAATAAATGGAACCAATCAATGTGTGTGGTACTACTGGGTGACCATCGTGTTGTAGCATGGATCAGTACTTCCCAGATCTTAATGGTCAATAACACCCCACATACATGTGCCCATGCATGCACTGACAGTGTCCCCGACATTCTGCTTATCCCTTCACTCACTGCTGGACATTCGCAGTTTCCACCTATTGGCTGAGGTGACAGAACAGTGCTGCTATGAACATTCCCACTCAGGCTTTGGTGCAACTCAACATCTCCTTTCTCTGGGGTAGCCACCTAAGAGTGGAATTACCATGCCAACTGGTAACTTACTTCATCTGTCTACAGAAACACCTTCCAAAGCAGCTATACCACAGCACACTCCTGTTGAGTTCCTTCTTGCAAAGACAAAACTGGAGTCCGGCAGAAATAACCTGCCAGAGTGCACACGGTTGAGAGGAAGTGCAATGAGGTGGGACACCATGGGGACACAACCACAAGCAGAGATCTGACCCTGACCCCCTTGCCCTCCTGCCAAGGCTACCTAACTCTACCTAACTCTCTATAGCTTCTCTAGGTAAGGATGTACAATCGAATTGGGGCAGGGAGAACAACAAAGTAGTAGAAAAGAGAAATCAATTTACTGTAAAATCACATTTCTAGGGAAGAGATATGAACTACTCTGAGAGTCGCTCGTGTCAAGGGCGGACAAAGGTGCAGACTGACATTAGTCAGGCAACCTAAAGGGCTGCTGGGAGAAGAGCACACGTGTCAACGGATTTCTAGATTTCTGACTTCAGGGAAGTGGGATCCACTTCTAGAATGACAGGGAACCATGCTGAGAGCGTTTCGTCACCATGAAACAATGTAACTCCAAGGACCCTCTGAGAACTGTCCAGTTATCAGCCAGACAGATAAAATACCAGCCGACCCGAGGCCTCAGACAGTGATGGCTTCAGAGATTCAGTGCAAACATGATGTAATTTTTGTCCACAAATTGAAAGCCCTTTACCCAGGACTAACTTACCCTGAATTGCAGACAGATATACGAAAGTGTCTTCATGCTCCAAGTTCTCCAAGAATATCTGGAACCAAAAAACACAGCAGTGAGATGATGGATGGAAACAGAGCAAAGGAAATTCCTGAGGCTTCCTTGATGAGCAGCCTCAAAACAATAAACACCTTTCTTATTGTCTTACTTGAAAGTTGGTGGAGGGGAGGGGGGCGTGCATAAGAGCCTGCAGTGATGGCATCCTATACCATATGGACACAAGTTCAAGTTTCAGCTGTCCCACTTCCATCTAGTTCCCTGGCTAATGGCCTGGGAAAAGTAGCAGAAGATGGTCCAAGTGCTTGAAACCATGCAACCATGTGGGGGACCCAGAGGAAGCTCCTGGCTCCTGGCCTAAGACCAGCCCAGCTCTTGTCTATTGAAGCCATTTGGGGAGTGAACCAGTGCGTAAAGTTTGTTCGTTCGTTCTCTCAGACAAATAAATTTTTAAAAGTAAAGGCTTCTTAGAGAGAAAAAGACAAAACAAAACAAAAAAACCCCCCACAGAACTTGGCCATCAATTATGTCCAGCAGAGAAAGAATAAATGAAATGTGAATTCCAAAGATGTTCACAGTAGTCACTATCAACATAGGTATGGCAAGTGACATTTTTAGTATATGTGCTGCCGAAGCGAGCACGTCAAGTGACATTTTTAATGACTCAAAGAAGATACATGTTTGAGTTTTCAGCCATATCTCAATGACAGCAAATCCTTGGCACGTGTCTGTGCTTGGGATTCTTCATCTGTAAGATGGAGATCACACTAACGATGTGGCTGCTGGGAGGATTAGATCACATGGCATATAACGCATCTAGCCTGGCTCAATAAGCAGCAGTTTTCTCAGGAAGTTCACGTGAAGTGTCTGAGCATCTCAACTGGGACTGGATCCCAGTTACAAGTCTCTAGGCTTCTTGCTTCGGGTCTTTAACCCCTACTGAGATCAGGACAATTTCCATAAAAGGAAAAAGATTTACTAAACCTTTCTGCCTCCACACACATCTACAGCGGCCTCTTGACTGTGACAGAGCAAGAAAAGGAGGCAGGAGACCCAGGAACACACAATGCCCCCTCTACAGAGAGCCTGGTTGCTTTTCCAGGCTGGGTCACAGCGGTGAAAACGGACCTAGACTCAGAAACGGGCCCTTCCACCTCTGAGATCTGCCATGGTACTGCTCTCTCTTTGCTTTCGTCAGCCCAAACCTCACAGTGCACTAGGGCCACGTTAAGATTTACCTCCTCTAGATACTAACTATTTTTCTCCTGGCTCTCCATGCATTTCTTGTAAGTGAAATTCCCATGCACTCAGCACATGCTCAACTGAGCAGGTTCCTGGGGTCAGCCTACTGTGTGTAAGTCCTTGTGTCCTCTACCTGGTGCTGGAGGGCGAGCCTGGATGGTGCCTGACACAGACTAGGCTCCCCAGGGGCAGGGGAAGATTGTCCGCCCCAGGACAGCTGCCCTGCCCCGTGTCCCTGGGCCTGTGTGGTGTGTCCCGCTCACCTGGAGAAGCTTCTCTTGCGTCTCTAGGGCCTTTGCTTCCCTCTGTTCTATCCAGTGGGACAGAGTGCGCAGGGCGGCAGCCCGTGTTGGAATCTGAGGGTCATAGGCTGATAAAACCAACTCCTGGAGCTGTTCCGTGGTTACACCTCCGGGCTTCCGCTTTGCAGTAGAGCTGGGTTCAGCGACCCCCTCAGGCACAGACGCAGCACTGGCCTCTGGGCTTGAATCCTGGACTTTCTCTGGGTTTGGCTGTTGTTCGTGGTGTCTCTGGGTACTGCTGGCGTCTCTTTCTCCACTGGTTCTTTGCTGCCCCTCTGGTTTTCTTCCGGGTTCTTTCTTGTTCAGGGTACTCTGGGCAGTCACGCTGATGGCCTCTGTGGCAAAGGCTCCGTGAGTGGCAATGGTGATACGGAGATCAGTAGCGAGCTCCTGGATGGCAGGGTCAGGGAACGAGCTGGAGACCTTGTCCAGCAGAGGCATCAGCCGTTTCAACACAACAAAGTCTCCGGACTTCAGCTACAAAATGACAGTGACCAACACAACAGACGTCAATAGAACGTGGGCCAGGGAACAGGGGCAAGGAGCAAGTGTGTTCATGACACAATCAGGTCACGCCTGAAGCCACACATGTGAAAGCGCATCGGGAAGCTCACAGACTACATAATATGAAAGAATTATCCAGGCCAGCACTGTCATATGGCATGTTAAGTCACCATTTGCAAAGTTGAAATCAAATATGGAGTCCCAGCTGCTCCACTTCTGATCTGGTATTCTGCTAATGGGCCTGGGAAAGCAGCAGAGAAGTGATTCACCCCTGCAGCAGAAGCAGTTCCTAGCTTCTGTTTGGCGAAGCACTGGGCTGGGACGTTGCAACCATTTGGTGCGTGAATTCATGGATGAAAGACTCTCTCCTTCCCCCACCATTCCATTTCTGTCACTGTGCCTTTCAAACAAATAAAATCTCTTTAAAAATAAAGGAAAAAATTTCACAGACTTTAAATATTTTGTAGCAAAATAAACTTATCCTTCAATTCCTTCTTTACAAATTTAATTTTAAAAACTTTTTTTTGGAAAGGCAGATATACAGAGAAGGAGGACACAGAAAGATCTTCCATCCGCTGCTTCACTCCCCAAATGGCCACAATGGCTGGAGATGAGCAGATCCAAAACCAGAAGCCAGAAGCTTCTTTGGGTCTCCCATGCCAGTGCAGGGTCCCAAGGCATTGGGCCGTCCTTCACTGCTTTCCCAGGCCACAAGCAGGGAGCTGAATGGGAAGTGGAGTAGCAAAGACATGAACTGTGCCCATGGGACCCCAAGCACTTACAAGGCAAGGATTTAGCCACTGAGCCATAGTGCAAGGTCCACAAAATTTTTAAAGTTAACATTAATTCAACACATATCATGTAATAGCACTTTTCTAAGTTAAAACACATTTACATCCTGTGACACAGCTACTACTGATGTCTATATTTAAATTTTTTATTATTGTTACTTTATATGAAAGGCACAGAGATAGACGGGAGGCATTTTCCACTTGCCAGTTCACTCCTCCAATGCCTACAATATTGTGTCCTGGCTGCTCCACTTCCCATCCAGCTCCCTGCTGATGGCCTGAGAAGGGATGAAGGATGCATCCATGCAGGAGACTAGAGAAAGTGCCTGGCTCCTAGCTCAGCTCTGACCATTGCGGCCATTTTGGAAGTGAACCAGCAGATGGAAGATTATTTTCTCTCTCTCTCTTACGTAAATTTGTCTTTACAATAAAAATAAATAAATCCAAATAATAATTTAAGAAATGGAGGGTCTGGAACACAAATCAGAGACTGATGTAAGATGGGGGCATCCCAGATGATGGCATCTAACTGCTGTGCCACACGCCTGCCCCAATGACCCCAATTTCTGACTGGGGGAAATTGAAGCACAGAGTAGCTAGGCATAGGGTATAAGGTCTGTGCCTGTGTTCTTTCTTCTGCCTGTGGTTCCAGCACCCTTTGTTGCAAGCACCATCACTTCCCATGCACAACTGTGCTCCTTGGTCAAAGATCAGCTGACCTTATTCATGTGGCTCTGTTTTGGGGCTGTTTTGTTCCACTGATGTATCCATCTTAGGAGTTCTTTTTGGTTCTTCCCCCCACCCCACACAAGAAGAGATTGCTGTTTATAGTAGAAATGCAAGATTATATGGGCTATAAATGCAGGTAGGTAACCCTGCTTCAGGTGTTTAAAATCTCACACACACACACACACACACACACACACACACACACACACACACACATATCCCTGCGAAGGCTGACGGTTACAAACCAGACACAGGAACAGCTGAGCTCAAGGAATCTGAGTCCAGGACTCACACTCTTCCCCAACACTCTGCTGCCAACAATCTGCTCTAAAGTGAGCACACAGGGCACACACAGGCACACAAGTTAGGAAGGCATCCAGTTGCAAACTAGCGGAAGCCATATTCTCCTAGAAAATCATGTGAGAGTCATCTCCCTCCAAGGAGATTTGTTCTAAGAATGGCATGGGCTTGGCTAAGGAATGGAGTCAGAGCTGTGACGGAAAGTGAGAAACCATGGAATCCTTTTCTGGCTGAGAACATCAGAGAAATGATCTTGTGAGGCTTCCAGGCACCCCAAAGAGCGGAAAACCTCAGGGCTCTGAAATCCTTTTTAGACCAAAGCAGGGTACTGATGACTTGATCATTCACCACCTTCATCATCATCTCACCAACCAGCTGTTTTCCAAAGACCCCATAAGTCCTCCGTTTGCACTACAATTCCACAGGACTCGTCTTCTTTGTTTTCCCTGTCACTGTCCTCCCAAGAAAAAGAGATTGAGGGAAGTCAGGTTTGTACCTGTGACACCTCACTTCCCACCCCCTGAGATTTCCCTGCTTATGAAGTAGAAACTCATGCAAAACCAACAGAAGATAGAATTTCTAACCCCCACGACAACATACAATGGCTTATCTTGCTGTGAAAAACAACTGATTACTCTGATGTTCCCGTAACTTAAGTGGCAAGGAGCATGCCCAAATGTAGAGCAGCTCTAGCCATAACCACTCAAAACCACCAAGGTGTTGGCTTCCAGGATGAATGCATGAACACAAAGTGACACATGTAGCCAATGTCAGAATACTACACAACACAGAAAGGAGACAAGCAGGAAGCCTGGGAAACACAAAAAGCCCTGCTTGTGTATTACTCTGTGACAGAGGCCGACAGGAAAGGACCGCATACTGCAGGAGGCCGACTCTGCCAACAGGCAAAGGTCTGGGTAGGTGGAGTCAGGGGGGACAGACCACAGCATGCAGAGCGTGGAGGACCTACGGCAGTGACACTCCTCCGTGTGATGCCACAGGGGTGGGGACACGACTCCAGATTCCAGGCTTTGTCCCAGACTGTATGTGAGCAATGGTTATTGTCCAGACAACCGAGAGCATGAGTGTGGTCTCACCTAACCTTCTGACTTTGGCGGCTGTAATAAAACATGCTAAATTCCTCTCACTGTTCGGCCTTTGCTCCTGAAAGGCACTTGGGAAAAAGGAAGTGTTAAACCCAATGAAATGGAGAAAGAATAAATTGTCATTTAGAAAGCACATATGAGAATCTAGTGATTAAATTTTTGCCTAAAAACCACCCTTCAATACCAACTCCCACCAGATGGCTATCCGCCTGCAGCCATGAAGATCTGGGGTCTCTGGGAACATTCAGGTCATATGCTTTTGTGACCTCAACAAATGGAAACCTTCACAGCCCCCTTGATGTCAGAGAAATCATTTTGTATAAAGTATAAAAAGCTCTGAAAATGTATAACAAGTACATAAATAAACACAATGGAAACAACTTCAAAAATAGAAAGTTTAATCTGGAAAGCAGAAAGAACTCGGGGGAACCAGACTTGGGTAAACTGGAAGGACATTTCTCAAAAGCTATTAAAATCACAGGCATTGGGCCCAGCATGGTAGCCTAGCGGCTGAAATCCTTGCCTTGTATGTGCCAGGATCCCATATGAGCACTGGTTTGTGTTCCAGCCACCCTGCTTCCCATCCAGCTCCTTGCTTGTGGCCTGGGATAGCAATGGAGGATGGCTCAGGGTCTAGAGACCCTGCACCTGTGTGCAAGGCCCAGAGGAAGCTCCTGGCTCCTGGCTTTGGATTAGTTGAGCTCTGACCATTTCGGCCACTTGGGGAGTGAATCACTGGATGGAAGATCATCCTCTCTGTCTCTCCTCTTCTTTGTATATCTGCCTTTCCAATAAAAAAAAAATCACAGGCATCGTGGTCTTCAAGTAAGGCCTCTTTATTTTTTTGAGTTATTTGTTTTTAAGAGGGGGAGGAAAGCAGGGAGGGGAATATACATAGAGAATATGAGAATGAATGATAATCTTTCATCTGTTGGTTCATTCGCCAGATGTCTGTTACAGCCAGCTTTGGACCAGGCCAAAGCTAATAGCCAGGAACTCCACTCAGGTCTCCCACATGCTCATGTACATCAGTGGCCCAAACACCTGAACCATGACCTGCTGCCTTTCCAGGCACCTTGACTGGAGGCTGGATGGGAAGCAGAGCAGTTAGGCCTCAAACTGCCCCCCTCTGACATGAAACACCAGCATTGCAAGCTGAAGCTTAACCTGTTGTACCACAATGCCATCCCCAAAGTAAGAGCTTTCACAACAACTTTGGTCAACCAGTTGTAAGTGGCTGAAGGATGTTCTACACTGTGGAGACACTCAGGAATGTCTGCATTACCCAGAAGATGATCAAGGAAGTGCTAGCGTCATAATAAGGAACATGGCCCTCTGCTCCATGCAGGACGTGACTAACAACACGCCCATGGCTGTGCCCCATCACCAGGGTTATGCCCTTTCCATACATTACAAGAACGGGATGAGAGGGAGAATCAGTGCCTCCTTTGTTTAACATCCATCTTGCTTTTGTTCTTGCTTCCATTTATCCATCCATCCAAAAGCTGTTTATTAAATTCCTGCTGTGGCAGGTTTTTTAAATGGCAGAAAGTAAGACATTTCTGAACCAGGCTGCTTGAGGGGCAGCAGTAATTACACATGATTGCATGCTCTTTGAAGTTCCACTTAATAGCTCAAAATAACGGGAACTTTTCCAAGCTGTTCTCAAAAGCGCTCTCCTGCAGCCCAGCAGAGGAAAGCAAGGATAGTGTCCCAGCACAGGGACTGGGTTGGCCCATTCACCTACTGCCAAGATAACTTGTCCACGAAGTTTGAGCTTTTGGTCAAAAGACCTAAGCCACACAGAATAAGCCCAAGTTACAGACACTGCCCCGTAGAGAGGAGATGTGCCTTCTGTCTCCCCGTAATGAACACCCACCCCAGCAGGATGCAGACTTCGAGGTTGGAACCGAGCTTTCAGCTGGAGGGCTCTGCTGCCTGCCATGAACAACACGGCTTTGCATTTCTCTGAAGTAGTTCTGCAGTGGTTTGCTCTGAGCTTTGAGCTATGTGCTGCGGAGGACCCAATGGCGCTGCAGCACTGGGGAACAGGAGTCACTAACCTGACAACTCGTGCTAAGGAACAAGCCTGACACTTAGAAAATGAGTCTGGGTTACAGATGTCTTGTTAGCAGTCTCAAACCTACACTTCTCGCAAATTACCTCCTCTTCCCAGACACAGCATTCTAATAATCACCCTAATTATATAAATTATGAAAGGAAAGGGGTTAGATGATTTGGGATTCTGTTTCATTAGCCAAAACAATGATGGCTATTGGGGACCGGCACAGTGTGTTGTCCTAGACCCTAAGCGAGGACTTGAGCCTGATAGCAATCAAGGGAAACCAGAATTCAAAACCATGACTTTCCCATCACACAAAAACTGACAGCCCAGCATTACTAGGCAAGCCACTTCGAAACCCAGGAGCCAAGCAGTACAGAAATAGAAAGGGGTGAGAGTGTAGGGGCTGACGTGTCTGTGTTCATTTCATTAACTGCCACATCAAAGGATGGCAGAACACCATCAGTGAGTCACAGTGCCTCACGGAGGGCAGGGACCGGCAAGGGAAGGGCAACTGCACAGGGCGGGTGGGTCTCTCTCCAACACGGCCCATGGACAAAGCTGGCCCCCAGCGAAGGGCTTCTAGAAAAGCCAAGAGAGATGTCTGAGGCCTACTTTCCATGTGGGACATGGCCTGAAATAGCAAGTATTAAATAAAAAGAAGCAAACACACACTCTCTGCTTGTGGAAACAAAGACTATTCCAATCAAAACACAACCAGAAAAACAAAAATTAAGCAGGCAAACTGAATGCAGCCAAACAACTGAAGAAAACTGTTCAATCTGTGAACTCTTCATCGATACACGTCTGACAGCAGGGGTCTAAAATGGCTCTGGAAGCTGAACCAGATCACATGGAATTACACAACAAGGAGTACAAAGTAGATTTATCAGGAAATGGGCTTCACGTGAAAACAGACACAGATAAAATCGTTTCTCCTTTAAGGACAAGTTACAGGCAAACTCAAATCCATAATCAAATCAGATTGCAATCCTGAAACTCAAACTCAAAACTTCGTTGCCAGAGGGTTCCTACGTTTTGCAAAGGGTTATTAAGAGTAGGCTGGTTTCAGGTCAGGTTTCCCAATACTTGCATTAAGCCTGTTCTGCTTTCTTGCAGTGTCCTGTCCTGCAGTGGTATACAATTAGTCTGCCCCTTTCTCTCTCTCTCTCTCTCTCTCTCTCTCTCTCACACACACACACAACTTAGCCCCTGTGTAATTTCCCCCTTGTTGGTGCTGCCCTTCCCTCGGCCTCTGTAATTCAGCCATGCAGGCCTTCTGTAGGAATAACCAAGGCTGGCCAGGCAGAAGGGAGGAGGCATAACCTCTTTCAGGTCTCCCATGTGGGTGCAGTAGCCCAAGCAATCAGGCCATCTCCCACTGCTACCCATGTACATTAGCAAGGAACAGGATTGCAAAGTTGGAACTCGCACCTATATGGGATTACAGCACTGCAGACAGCAACGTGCTCCACCAGGCACAAGCCTCACTTCTGAGCCTTTGTGCACAATGCTCCAGTGGGAGAGCTTCTACCACTGCACTACACACTTTTGGCCTTCTCGCATTCCTTTGAGTCTTAGCTTATGGGGTCTCCTGTCCCGCAGAAGAAATCACCTGACACTTGAGAGTCTCTGAGGCGCTTTATTCAGACCTTCCCTTGAAACCATTACCTCCGTTAATTCTGTTATGCAGAAGCCCCTCCCCTGCCACGCCCCCGCTTATCTGTCAATCCTGTCCAATCAACACCAAGGCACACCAATCAGGGCAAAGGGCCAATCACAGGGCAGGAAATTGTCAGTGCCCCCAACATTAGCTTACACATACACTTCCTCAGTAGAGACTTTCCCAGCTTGTGTTTCTTACTACCAATTAATTCTGAGTTCCTATAGCCTACATAGGGGAGCTGTAACAAAGGAGTGCAGCTTCCATGTTCTGTACTGTGGTGAGAATTCTCATTAACAACCTATTCTGTTTACCTTCATGTTCTCTTAAGTACCACATTCATCTCACAGGGATATGGAAGGGAAGCAGAAAGTATTCTGCTTCTCTTTACCATCCAAGTCTGGTTCACGTTTCAACTCACCTGAACAGCTCCTCCCAGCATGACGGCCACTAGCCCCATGGCCATGCTAAGTGTTTGTGATTCCACAGCGCTCTCTGCTTCATGGGCCAAGCTGGCGCAGGCTCTCTGCAGTGTGGCTGCTACGAAGTCCACCACCTACCAAAAAACATGGAACTTGGAGTCAGTGAAGAATCTTCCACCTGTGTCCACCTGCACGTTTTTGTCAACACTGTGATACCTAGAGCCCACGGCACAGTAGGCACAGTGCTAGACTGTCCTCCTTTTGGTACATTTACCAGTTTGTTGTAAAAGATCCTGTAAGGAATACAGATGAAGGGCCTGGTGCCTTGCACACACTGGGATCCCATAGGGATGCCAGTTCTAAAACCAGTGGCCCCACTTGCCATCTAGCTCCCTGCTTGTGGCCTGGGAAAGCAGTCGAGGACAGCCCAAAGCCTTGGGACCCTGCACCCATGTAGGAGACCCAGGAGAGGCTCTTGGCTCCTGGCTTCAGATCAGCTTGGCTTTGGCTTTTGCAGCCATTTGGGGAGTAAATCAGCAGATGGAAGATCTTTCTGTCTCTTCCTCTCTATATGACTTTCCAATGAAAATTAAAATCTGTTTTTTAAAAGATTTAACTTTATTAGAAAGTCAGATACACATGCATGTGTCAGAGCTGGGAGTCCTCAACGGCTTAGACGGAGCAGTGGATAGCATATCCAGATGTACATGGAGAATATGGCAGTACACTGGAGCTTGCAGGGGACACCTGGTACCATAATAGAAGACGGAGGACAGAACAAATCAATCAACTACCCCGGCAAAGAGTTGGCAGTGAATACCTGGATAAATGGAGACCCTAAGGTGGACTATGTCAATCTGTGGAGTCTGCAGAGATTTCATCGCAATTGCAGTGGAAAGATCAGCAGGAATACAGAACTGCTGAACTATCAAAACCACTAGACCAGGATCCTCAGAGCATGCCCCACATGGGGAGCCTGAGACGGTGGGAGGCTGGATGTGGCTGTTCCCCTTATCTCTCCCCTCCCCTCAGATGCAGGAAGGAAAAAAGAGAATGTGAAAACACTGGTCACACCCACTTTCCTCTAGCTCTTGACCCTTCGTACCCTAATCAGATATGTAAAAATTATCAAAAATAAAATTCATACAATAAAAAAAAAGAATACAGATGAACAGATGCATCACAAAATGGACAGGGTTTGGAAGGCAGGGCCCAGAGCTGTCACACCGTCTTTGGGCCAGCCACCCTGTCTGCACCTTGGGAAACTCCTACGTGTTTGACACACATGGTTTATTTCACGTCATTCTCATACAGGCTCAATATTGTCACCACGAGGAGATGAAGACTGAGTCTTCAAAAAGTTGTTTGTTCAAGACCTCAAGAGTTAATAAATAAGAAAGCCTATCTTTCCTTTCCCCAAATTTTTAATACATTAATCCAATACCCTTCACCTTTCATGACTTATGCCAATAAATTAAAAATAAAAATGATCTGCAAACTCAAAAGGGATCACACACTTAAATGTGAAATGCAAACTAAATCTCCCAGACTTTGTTTTCTGCAATGAATTATGATTGTGTTATTTCACTACTTTGTTTTTTATTTCTTGAATTGACACTGAAGACATTGAGGGCCTCATCTAATCATTTGAAAATGAGTGTGAAGGGGGAACAGAAGTAAAAATCGGCCCAGTGCAGTAGCCTAGTGGATAAAGTCTTCACCTTGAATGTGCCGCAATCCCATACAGACACCAGTTCTAATCCCAGCAGCCACATTTCCCATCGAGCTCCCTGCTTGTGGTCTGGAAAAGCAGTCGAGGATGGCCCAAAGCCTTGGGACCCTGCACCTGCATGGGAGACCCAGAAGAGCTCCTGGCTCCTGGCTTCAGATCAGCTTGGCTTCAGCTGTTGCAGCCACTTGGGGAATGAATCAACAGACACAAGACCTTCCATTTGTCTCTGCTCCTCCCTGTGCATCTGGTTTGCAATAAAAATAAATAAATCTTTTAAAAAAATACTTCTGTCTAGCATGCCAACATGTGTTGAAATTGTGAACATTTGTGATATACATATTAAAAAACAGAGGGGGAGAAACTCCTAGAAGATACCCTTGGAGAAAATCTAGATGACTTTTCAAATGTAAAACCAATGACACTCTCCAGAAAAGAAAGGTGTGAGGAGTTGAAATTCATTAAAATAATTTTTAAAATCTTTATAACATATGTATCTTATATGGGGCTGTTAGCTAAAATATACAAAGAATCCTCAGAGCTCAACAATAACAGCTTGATTAAAAAACGGGCAAAAGACTTGAGCAAAATATTTCATCAAAGATATATAAATGGCAAATCAGCAAATTAAACATGCTCCACACCCAGGGCATGAGGATGTAAATGAAAACATCACTGAAGCTCTGTTACACATCTTTAGAATGGCTGTAGCTCGGAGCACTGACAAGGCCAGATGCTGATGGGGCTGTGGAGCAACAGAAATTCCAATTCTAGCTTGAAGAAAGACAAAGCAGCGGGCCACTCCAGCCGTTCCTCACAGGACTAACCATGCTCTTAGCTCATGACACAGCCATTGTGCTCCTTGATAGTTACCCAAGGGCAGGTGTTCAAGGAAGAGGTTAGGCCGCTGATTGGGGCACCTGCATCCATACTTAGAGGGCGAAGCTTCAAGCCCTGGCTCTGCTCAATTTCAGCTTCCAACTTTTGTGCACTCTAGCAAGCAGTAGATCGTATCTCTCTGTGGCTCTCTGTCGTCCACACGAAGACCTGGACTGAGCTCCCAGCTCCCAGCTTCACCCTGTCCCAGCCCCAGCTATTGTGGACATTTGGGGAGTAAACCAGCAGATGAGAGATCTATCTCTCTGGCTTTTGAGAAAAATAATATGTAAAATTCCTTACAAAGAGACAAATGCTGCAGATATTGCTTGGAAATAGAAACAGAATATTTGTTTCCATACAAAAACCTATACATGGTTGGTTAATGCAGCTTGAAGTATCAAGGGTTCCTTCAATAGGTGGATATATAAGTAAACTGTGGTTTCTCCAGACACTAAAATTAGCTGTCAGGCCATGACAAGACAGTGAAGGAAACATAAATGTATACTGTCAAGTGAAAGAAGTCAATGTCAAAAGGCCACATACTTGGCCTGGCACTGTAGCCTAGTGGTTAAATCCTGGCTTTGCATGCGCGGGGATCATATGGGCACTGGTTCAAATCCTGGCTGCTCCTCTTCCCATCCAACTCCTTGCATGAAGCCTGAGAAAGCAGTCAAGTACGGCCCAAAGCTTTGGGACCCTGCACCCATATGGGAGACTCAGAAAAAGCTCCTGGCTCCTGGGTTTAGATTGGCTCAGCTCTTGGCCATTTGCAGAGTGAACCAGCAGATGGAAGATTTTTCTCTCTGTAAATCTGGTTTTGCAATAAAAACAAATCTTTCAAAAAAAAAAAAAAGGCCACACACTGTATATTTCCAACTGCAAGACACTTCAAAAAAAATAAATAAATAAAAAGGGTTAAAAAATGGGAGTAAAAAGGTCAAGGGTGCCAGGGATTGAGGCAAGAGGAGGTGAACAGGACTTTTAGGACAGTGAAGGACTCCTGCAGAACCCACGGAATGTACATCAACATAAACCCTAACATAGGCTATGGCCTTTGGACAATGATGTGTCAACAGAGGTCATCCTTCTTAAAAATGTAAGCAGGTGTTGTGGCAACTCAAGACACCGCTAACAATGCCCCCATCACATACAGATGTGCCAGTTTGCGTCCTGGCTCCTCAATTTCCAATCCAGCTTCCAGCAAATGCGCATCCAGGGAGGCAGCAAAAGATGGTTCAAGCTCTTGAGCCTCTGCCACCCCATGGGAGACGAGTTTCAGCCTCATGGTTTTGCTTTGGCCCAACCCTGGTTGCAGAGAGAGTGCACTGCAAGATGTAAGAGCTCCCTCAGTCTATGCCTTTCAACAAAAGAAACAAATGAACTAAACATTTAAAGTTTAACAGAGATACCACTTTTTATATATAGAGGATCCACAGTTGACAAAGGAGGGAGCTATGCACACGTAGGTGCAGGGCAATGAGGGCACTCTATCTACCCTGCGTTCAATTATGTTGGGAATAAAAGCTCCTCTTAAAAACAGCTCTAATGAGTCTGGCATGGTAGCCTAAGTGTCTAAATCCTCACCTTGCATCCACCGGGATCCCAAACGGATGCTATTTCATGTTCTGGCTGCTCTACTTCCCATCCAGCCCCCTGCTTATGGCCTGGGAAAGCAGTCAAGGATGACCCAAAGCCTTGGGACCCTGCACCCATGTGGGAAACCCGGATGAAGCTCCTGGCTTCGGATTGGCTCAGCTCAGCTCTGACTATTGCGGCCACTTGGGGAGTGAACCAGAGAAAGATGAAAGATCTTTCTCTTTTTCTCCTTCTCTCTGTAAATCTTTCATTAAAAACAAATAAATCTTAAAATAAGAAAAAAGAAAAATCCTCCCCCCCAGAAAACCAGCTCTATAAAAAATGATCAGCAAACAATGTTTCTGCCTCAGGAATTAGTTTTTGCCTGCATTTGGGCAGTCTAATTCTAGGAAGCAATGAATGAGAGAGAAAATGTTCGATTTTATTTGAGTCAGAATCCTCAATCGGTACAAATGACGCAAAGTCAGGTTTTTTTTTTCTCTTTTTTTTTTTAAAGCACCAGCTATTTTTAAAGGATTAAGATTATTCATACACAAGATTTTACACGGCACTCTGCTAACAACTAAGCTTTAAAAGGAATTAATCTGGTCAGCACCATTTTAACTGCGCTTGGATTAATCACCTTTGGCAGAACACCTTTGAGTAAGTGATGTGCACACACACGCCTATAGACACGTGTCTGTGTATGTAGGATCAATGGCTCAGAAGAGAGATGTCATTGTGCAAACGGGAAGTCTGATGGTCTGCGGTCAGCTCTAAGTACCATGAAAGCCCTCACACTGAACACCCAGGACAAACCCCACGCAGTCCAAGTCTTTACTGTAAACCTCCAATGAGAGGAACAGCTCGTTAACACTCGTACTTTGGAGCAAGCCAGGAAATGGGAAAGGGACACTGCTGGGGACAGCAGGTTCACTACCTGCTTCAGCA